CCTGGTGCTCTGTCCAGAGCTACCAGAAGTGTTCATAAATGGACGTGGATAAAACTCGCGTTTGCCCGTGTGTGTGCGCACGTGTGTCCGTTGGCCTGTGTGTGTGCACGTGTGTGTGTGTGTTTGTGTGGGGAGCGGTGGTGCAGCGGTTAGCGCTACGCTTCGCTACGAACCCGGCCACCGAGTTCGATTCCCGCTCACGGCGAACACCGCCAGTGACGATTATCTCAACCGGTAGTGGGCATTCCCAAGGTCGACTCAGCCTTAAATTAGTCCCTGGTCCGATGTGTAAATATCTGCACTTGGGAGACAAAGGCGGCCGGGTGTGGTGCTGGCCACACACCCCCTCGTGTGCCCTTTCCAGCCTTCATAGGTGCTCGCTGACAGCACTTGCCCCAGCAGTGTGTTAAGGCTATACGGGGGATCTTTGTCTCTGTGTGTGCGCCCACACTCGCGCACACTCTTTGTATGCGCGCTCAAGCCTCGTATCAAAAAGATTTAACTTTCTTCCCGGTCTTGCCATGTCCATCGAGCCAGGCGGCTCACAGCGGTACAGCAAGCGGCTTGCGGTCGGAATGTTGGGGGTTGTCTCGGCCTTATCATCTCTGCAGGGTCCGTAGGATTGTTAACACTTTGTTGGGCACAAATCAGCATTGCTTGTCCTATGGATCGACTTGCCCCCACCATAGTAAGAAGGAAATTTCACTTCTGGGCCAGGGCTGTAAATGTGAGGTGAGCGCTGCGTCAAAGCTCATTTGAGCAGAAAATCACTTGGACTGTTTCCACTCGCTATCCATCCTGTGGTCAACCACCACACTCACTGATAAGATCCGTTGCACTGCTGCACTTTTAGAAATCTCTCCCACACAAGGCCGTAATTATAATATATTGGGGGGGGGACCCATCCCCCCCAATATATTCAAATTGGCTCAATGTCCCCCCCCAATATATTGCTATAAAAAGAATTGCTATGCTATATAACTAAAAACAACAATTTGCTAAACCTTGGCCACAATGTCTGGACTTATCTTCATGTAAATCAATCCATAGATTTCTGTTTATATGATTGTGGTTATGGTTGTTCTTTATTAATCCCTAATTTCTGCCATTACATACAATGAAACAAGAAATGGTAAAAAAGTAAAAACAGAGCAATGTAATACAATACACTATTAGACATTATTGTAAAAAATATCCCATGTGTCGGTGAATTTTTTAATATTTTAGGCAGAAAATGAGTTTTCAAATTTATATATTTTTCTGGGTTGGGACCCCCAGACACCCTGGAAGATTTGGTCCCTCCCAAATGTTGACTCCTTTGCTACGGCCTTGCTCCCACATACTCCTTCCTTGCCATGTTCTTGGGACATTTGTTTAAATCAAGACACGTGCAAGCCCTTGTTTCTTACACCTTCAATGGTGCCGATTGTTGCGGGCTGCCTGACGTTTTTTGTGCTTTTGAGCCTGTTGCCCAGCAAGCTTGCTTTGTAATAAATAAATAAACAAACTGCTGTGTGGCCTCGTCTTGCCGTGTCAGTAACCCTACTTTCGCACGCTACTCTCGGCCGCCTCGCCACTTTTCAGTTTATTTACACATTTTCGGTGGAAAATCCAGTCGCTGTGTCGAGTGCGTAGCACGGAGAGCCAACAAAAACCGCGTCGGCTTCTGCGTGCACACTGTCGCACAATGGCGTAGGGACGCTGCTGCTGCTGCTGCTGTAGGATAATGGCGAGCACGGTGGAACTTGCAGTCAGGAGGTGGCCTCTTCGATCTCCAGGCGCGATGGTTTGAACAATGGCACGAGTTTCTCAAATCCCCCCCCACCGCTTGCCTCTGTCCACCCAGCGGAATAAATGGGTGCACAACAGATAGTCGATTGGCAGGTAGTGTGTGTGGTGGGGTATGGGGTAAAGTTTGGGAACTCGTATCTCTTCTAAGACACCTGGTCAGAGTGGAAGAGTGGACCCAAAATGCCTTCTCTAGAGGGGCTTTCTGGAGCCGCTTCGAGTGGAGGCTCTTTCTGCCAGCATTGGCGTGAGCAGGCAGGTGCAGGGCTGCACCATTACTCTCGATAGCTTTACCATCAGTCCGCTGGCACAAAAGGAGCACGAGGGGCTGGTTGCTTTGATGCAGTTTCTATTGTGAGCCATCAGAAAGTAAACTCTGCACGTCTCTCTTTTGCCACGTGAAAAGAGAAAAATGATCAAATGTTCGGCGATTAAAATATTCTCTCGTTAAAGCTACGTGCGGTCTCTTTTTCCACTTTTGCGTCGTTTGAAAGGATACTCGCTTTCAATTAGGGTGCGTGCTTAAGTTTAGAATGCTTTGTCGTGTACTGAAACGGTCATTGTGGCCCTGATTTGAGAATTAATCGCGGTGCTCTGCCCGCGGTTGTTTGAAAATTAACTTCGTCGTCGCCAGCACCGCATTAAACGCTGGCCAATTCGTCATTGTAAATGTACATTGACGGCGATCTGGACACATTTAGTCAGCTTCACTGCCGTTGTTGTCGGCGTCTCTTGTCAATCGACAAAGATATAAATCCTTCGCAAACGATGGCTTTTGTCGCCATTGTCGTCGCGAACATTGCGACGGCTTCGGGGCTTGAGAAGGCCGTCATTCAGCAGTGCTTAGATCTGAGCCGCGTGTCGTGAAGGCAACAATCCCTCAGATCAGCTGTGTAATCGACATCGTCAACGGTCTCGTCACTTTTAGCCTCCTGAATGCCTTTAGAATTCCTCCAACCACGAAGACTCGCATTGCACTTGAGTGGGGGTTGATGTCACCTTCAAGTCTCCAGCCAATCCGATAACGCACTTCACGCATCACTGCCATCCGTGACAATGATGATGATAATCCAATTGCATGCGAAGGCACTTTGTCATCGGCATCACAAACGGTCACATTTAAATTATCATCATCATGTCAAAACCATGATCATCATCACCTCCATCATCCATCGCTGCCACCATCGGACCATTCACCACCACCACCACCAGGCACGGCGATCAATCTCGGCACGTTCCTCCCCCGCACACTCCCCGGACAGCCTTTCTCCCGCCCTCCTCACGGTGTTTACATCGCTCGTTCTCCTCCCCGTCTGCTGCTGCTGCTGCCCTGTCTGGCACACTCCCCCGATGCACCCCGGGATGTACGGACGTCTCGGCGATTTTAACACATGTTTTTGTAAATTTTATCCCAATATTGTCCCGAGCGTGTTCCCACTGTCCTGTCGGTGGCGTGGCCTAGCCGTCGTGCGTTCGCCACTTGCTGCGGAGCTTCACGGTTCGAATCCAGCGGCCTCCCTGGTTATTAGTGCGGGTGTTTTTATTTGGCGTAGAAACAGGCGCCATCTGCTGCACAGTGGACGTGGCACGAGGGTAGGCCTCCGTGCGCTGGTGTCGTGGTCCAAATTTGAAACATTACCCGCAAATTTACTCAATTGGAATATAGTTAGAAATCATCACCCCCCCCTCCCCCACTGCATAAACTTAACAGAACCCTCCTGAAAAAGAGTTATGAGACTCACCGAGGCTCTCATGGGATCGCTTGCAGACCGGTGCAATGCTTCGTATGAGAGAACGGCCCGTGGAAGCGGATAGCACAGAGCTACTTCAAAGATCCATTCCGGTGACCTCCGGACAGTACAGTAGGCGGGCAGCACTTTCATGTTCGTTGTATTACGGTCAAACAAACGCATTCAATTCCTGGTGCGGGAATTTAGCCAGATTAAGTGCGCAACCAAATCGAACGATGGGTTTATTTTTGAGCAGTCATTGGTGACCAGACTGAGACCATCATATCCCTTACACTTGGGAATCCAGTCTAATCACAGGCGCGCCAAACCCTGGATTAGAACCCAGGCCGTCGTCAGCTGTACTGGCTCAGCACTCTGACCTCCGAGCCACTCGGCCACCTCCACACAGGTGCTTCTTAATATCTCCCTCTCGACAACTCCCACCTGTCTGTGCTGCTCCCCCCCCCCCCCGACATGCATCCTCACTGGCTTGGCTGACTGCCCAGCTGAGGGAGGCTCGCACTGCCGCTGTCAGAGGGAGCCGGGTAGCGCGGATTCAGGCAGTAGCCTGCGATTGCAAACGTGTTCTCAACTGCAGTGAGTTGATCGTCTCAGTCCTGTGACCAAAGTAAACCCATCATATTAAATTTGGTGTTGGTTCAGCGAACCCTATAAAATCCCAACATTAAGCTCGGTAAATAATAATGCGCGTGTCCTTGTCACACCAGACAGTATGTTTATTATTGGAATGTACCGTGCGTCTGAAAGGTGCGTTAGTTCATGATTTGCGTGTATTTTTCATAAATAACGGATTCTCACATCCACGAATCTGTGTACGCATCATGAGTGTGATGGTGAATTTTTATTCAAGAATCACAACTGGCCTTCTGGCTGTAGCACAGCACACCGTGAACTTCATTCGCCCATTCCTCCACGCGTGTCGAGGACTCGATCAACCACCAGACTGACCGTCGTCGCATCCACACTGTGTTCAACCACCACCACACTGCAGGTCACGACAACATCAACAAACAACACACTCGCTCACTCACACATCCACTTGCTCACCCATCCACACACCAACCCACTCGCTCACCCACCCACTCACTCACCCACCCACCCACCCACACTCTTCCCATTGCAGGGCACTATACTCATATTTCTGCTTCTTCCCTCACACTGCTCCTCTTTGGAATTTTCTTCCATCGTCTTATGGAAGAAAATGATGACGTGCAAAAGTTTAAATATTACACCCTCAATGGTGCTCTTTGATATAAGTCCGATTAAAAACACGTACAAAATACGTGCAGCGAGTCGCTGACACAAGTCAGAGGCGCCTGTCGTTTTGGGCCTGTGGCCCTGTGCTCGGCAATCGCAAATATAAAATATAAAATAAAAACCAGGAACAGGATTGCGGGTGTCGCTCTCGCTGCCGTGCCGACCGTGTTCTCTCGTCCTTCTCCGTGCGTTCGCTCCACAAAGCAGCCCGACGGTGGGGAGCGCAAAGCTGGGCAGCTGCTGGGCGGCGGTGGCGGCGCCAGCGGCGCCGGGGGCGCCGGCGTCGGTGGGGGTGGCATCTCCGAGAAGATCCCGTGCAAACCGAGGCCTCCCAGCAAGGCGGACCTGCGCGCCCGCTACTGGGCGTACCTGTTCGACAATCTGCGGCGAGCGGTGGACGAGATCTACGTGACCTGCGAGACCGACCAGAGCGTCGTGGAGTGCAAGGTGCGTTCCGCGTGCCGCCCTGCTGCCCGCCGGCTCGCCCACTCGTCCCGTCACCCGCGTAGCTGCTCACCGGAACCCTGCCTATAGCCTTATGGCTCAACCGTTCCTTTACCCACTCAATCGTTGGTTCATGCTATGCATCTGTCTGTTAAGTTGCTCGTGTGTCCCCTCGCCTATCTATTCACCCGCTTGCCTACATGTCCACCTATTCACTTACGTATGTGCTTGTTCACTAACACATTTACCAGTTCGCTTATCTAGCGGTTTTCCTGCTTACCTGGCCATTAATTTACTCACTTCCCCGGCTCGTCTACTCACCAGCCCATCCATTTACTCACCGCCCGTTCACTTACTCACCCTACCCCTTCATCTGCCCAACCTTCTCACCAACTCACCTACTGGCTATGAATGTAATCCTGCCCATTGACCTTTACACTTACCTGCTGACTTAGCCAATGACTCGTCAGCTACTTGCTCAGCAGTTGGTGAACTTATCTAACCGTTGACCTACTCGCTGTACTCACCTGCCTCTTAATTTACTTATCTACCTGCTGACCGGCTCACCTGCTTGCCTGCTCACTCTCTCGCTCACCTACCCTTTCACCTACTCACTTACATGTTCGCTCACCTACTTGGTTATCCACTCACCTGTTAGTTTATTTATCTGCCCTTATCTATATTTATACAGCGCCTTATTTCAAAGGTGTTTCAAACACTAGCCCATTCATCTACTCAACCTATTCACCTGCCTGTGCACTTGCATACATTTTTGTTTACATACTCATCTGTCCGTAATGTACTCACCTGGTCGTTCACCCACCTACCTGCCGGTTCCCTTCCTCACTTACCCATTCACCTGCTTTCCCCATTCACCTACCTATTCACTAACTCACCTCCTCGTTCACCTACTCGCCTGCCTGTCCACTTATTCAGCTGTTCGTAAACTGACTATGCTTCTTTGTGGACCCACCCGCCTGCTCGCTCGCTCGTTCGCCTACTCACCGTCCCAATCGCCGATCACACTTGGGCACAAAAAACGCGTTTCACGAGGACGTTTCCGCGGGCGCTGGCGAAAGCTCATTATCGGCGCAAGCCGCGGACGGCCACGAAACGACGTCGCCCCATTGTGCACCGGGCGCAGGCCGACCTGTCGCCGGGGTTTTTTTGTTGTCGCTGTCCCCCGGCGCCGTTATTCGCATGGGTCCTCCGTGTCGTGGGGGCCTGCAGAACGATCATCCGAATCCCGGCAGCTTCCACACACGCCGTACGCACGCACGCACGCACTCACTCGCTCGGGTTTCAATCCGCCAAGTGGCTGCGCTTCGGCTGCAGCTCGAGAAGGCCCCCCCCCCCCCCCCCCCCCCGTCTGTCGGGCACGCTGAAGACTCGTCATGGTGTCCCAGCCGGCGATGAGCGCACATTCAACACAAACAGGTTTCAAGTGCCACCTTTCAGGGTTCCCATTGTTCGGTGTGCGGTGGGCACGAGTGCTTTCTGGGGGAGGGGGGTTGCTTTTTCTTTTTGTTTTTTTCTCTCCACCACCCCCCTGCCAACCACCGCCGTAACCACCGCCGCAGCCACATTCACCACCGCTGCCATCCACCGCAGCCACCGCCATCCACCGCAACCACCGCCATCCACCGCAACCACCGCCAACCACCGCAACCACCACCACCGCCACAACCACCACCGCAACTACCGCCGCAACTACCGCCGCAACCACAACCACCGCCGCTGCCATCCACCGCAACCACCACCACTTACTGCAACCACTGCCGCCGCAACCACTACCACCGCCACAACCACTGCCGCCGCAACCACCACCACCGCAACCACCTTCCACCGCAAACGCAGCCACCGCAGCCACCATCCACCACAACCGCAATCACAATAACCGCCGTCGGTCTCCAAGCAAAAGCCAGACGCGCATGCGGAGAGAGGCGATGAAAAGGATAGCAGCAGGCAGGTCTTGAGATCGGACGCTAAAACGGTAAATTGGCGTCTGTCAGTTTTTGAGAAGCCCTCCTTGCTGATTTATTGTGCAAGTGTTTGGAATTTGGAAGTGGTGGCGGGTCGTTTTTTTTTTAGTGTCTCATTTGGGCCGGTGGTGCCACGCAATCACACAAAGCAAGCGGGCGGGCGGGCGGGAGGGCGGGCGGGCGAGAGGCACAAAGGCCTCCTCGCCTGTGGCAACGCCAGCATTGCAAAGGAGAGCCGCGAGCCGGGAGGTGGGAGCCAGCGTGGAGGGGGCCCGTGCAGGTGCGACGTGAGACACAGACGACGTCGGCAGCACCGTCGACGCACCCGCCGCTCCGCTCGGGGTTTTTTTGTTGTTGCTGCGCCCGGGCGCCGTTATTCGCGAACACAAATGTCCTCACCTGCCGTCCCACCTGCCCACTCAGCAGCCGCTGTTTTCGCTTTTTTTATTTTTGTCGCTGATTATGCTCGCAATTGTTCCGTGAGTATCCAGCCAAGGAGTGGAGAGTTTTGCGGTCGTTCCTTCTTCTTCTTCTTCTTCCTCCTCCTCCTCCTCCTCCCCCTCCTCCTCCTCCTCCCCCCCCCCTCCTCTTCCCCCCCCCCTCCTCCTCCTCCCCCCCCCTCCTCCTTCTCCATCTACTTCTTCCTCTTCCTCATCTTCTTCTTGACGATACAGCAGCATGTATCTGCTTCTTGTCATCCCAAGGCGTACTGGACTGTTGGCCCACGTTTCCTTCACTGGTAACTCCCTACAGTGTTCTCTCTCCACTCGTCTCTGTGAGTCGCTGCGTCTCTCAGCTGTGATGCCTCCATCCCACCCGCTGTTTGACGTCCAGATCGCAGTCTTCCTCTTCCCGCAGCACCTCCCGAGTGTTCCCTCCCATCGCCATCCACTGCAGCCGGTCACCAGACAATCTTGATCACATGTCCGAAAATGTTGCCCGTTTCCTTGACTTGACCTGACGAAGCAACCATGCTTTCTTTTCTATGTGAAGTCTTCAGATAACATCCATGTTACATCATAAGAAATGTTAAGAATTCTCTTGGATTGGCTTTTATTTACGCATTTATTGTTTGTGTAAGCAAAAACCTCCGTGCGACGCCGCGGGTCTTCACCTCTGTGGCCTTCGAGGATCCGTCTTTGGTAACCTCCGGACTACCTTGGAAGCGGCCCGCGTTAACAACAGAGCGGTTCGTCTGTGGAACGCGCACAGATTTAGCCCATGGATTCTGGAGGGGGGGTGGGTGGGGGGGGCGTCCTGCCTCTTAAGTGCAAATCCACATTTTCTGCGTTTGTTCTTGTTTTCGCGCGAAAAAAAAATCATTGGTGACCGGGCCGAGACCCATCGGCTCGTTCGCCACACACACGGCAGACTGCTTTTCATCTCCGGTGGCCGACCTGGATCCAAACCCAAGGTCTTGGGCGCTGCTGGCTCGGCACTTTGATACGGACATTAGCGCTAACCTCCGCGAGCCGCCCGACCCACCCGACCCGCCCACCGCTCTTGAAAGCGTTTCGCTCTCGCATCGCCTCGAGTCGCGCAACTTTACTTTCTTGTAGACGGCGCCCCCACCTCGCCCGTCCTCCCTGGCTTTAGATGAATTTTACCCAGTGTGCATTGCTTTTTCAGGCGATGGCCATTTTTCATGAGCCGGCTGCAGCCCCGCAGCATAACATTGTTTTAAAGGAAGTGGGCGGCTCTCCGAACCGGTCCTGGGTCCCGCCTCCCTTGCCCCTTCACCAACCCTCACCGGCGAACGTGGGCGACGTGCAGTCACGCCACCCCCGTGACCGACGCGGCGTGGCTAGGCCCTCATCCAGCAGTGGCCTGAGTGATTGATAAGGAATCGGCACGCATGGCGGCTTTTGAACTTTGCCTGCGCCGTTGCTTTCTATTTTTTGGCTTCCTGGCCCCCCGCCCCCCCCCTCCCCCCAGGCTTGTTTGTAATGAAGCCCCCAGCTACCCTAATTGCCGCGGCGCTTTTGTGCGAGCAAATTGGAAAGGAGAATGAAAGGTTGACACTTACTTTAAACTGTCGCAATAATAATTTGACTGCTGATTTTTTTTTTCTCCTCCTGACTTGATCGTTAAATAATGCTCGCAAAAAAAAACACAGAAACCAACCATGAGAGAGAGAGAGAGAGAGAAAAAAAACCCCGCCACACAATTTTGTTTTCAATTCTCCGCGCAGCAATTGCACATTTTTGATTGCAGACCGAGACCTTGGTGGCCGGCCGCTGCCAACGCGACGTTGCATCGTGTCTCTGGCACAGAAAGATCAGACGGACAATTTTCTCCCCATTTTCCTTTCCGTCACCGCGCCGTTATTAACCCTCTCTTTGGCGACGACGCCAGGTGATCTCCGGCAAATCCGGCGTGCGCTCCGCTTTTCGACGTTTTTAATCCAACCGCTCGGCTACGGTGCATTGAGGGTCGTAGGTCGCAGCCGTCGGTCCCGGTGGACCCCCTCCCTCGAACTCGCGGATTTTTTAGCCGTTTGCGCCGGCGTTTAAACGTCGCGGCCCTCGCCGTCGCTGCCGCCGCCGTCGCCGCGAGCGCCGTTCGCTTCGCGAAAGGGGTTATAACGCAGAATAGGCCGTCATCTCGTGCATCGTGGCGTCTGTCACAGTGCGCCGAGGTTTTTTTGGGGGGTAAATAATCTGTCAGTCTCTGCGGGGAGCTATTTAAAAAAAAAATACAAATAAACACGAGTATCGTTGTGTCTCCGCATTGATTATGCACCGACGTGCTTGCGGCCGGGTGTAATGTCTCGCCGTTTTGCGAAGAAACGTTGGTTCATTTTCCGTGCGGTCATTGTTGTTGTTTATTATTATTGTTGTTGTTACGATTACGATGTTGTTTTCTTGTGGAGTCAACGTGAAGGCCAGGAAACACACGAGAGCCATCCCCACCTCCCTTTTTAGAATCAATGCCACGAAACATGGCCTTAGGAGACCCAGAGGCCAGGATTAGGCCCATGGTAGGGGGGGGGGGGTGGAGGGAGGCGTGGGGGGCGTCCGC